CTCGCAAAAAATCGCCAAGCCTCAGACACGCCCAGCTTCAAGCTTTTTCGACGCCTGTAGTGTAGACGGGCCGTCATAGCGCATGCGCAACTTTATCCAAAATGCTCGTTCACATCAAGCACGTCAATTTGCGTAGACGTAACAGCACCGCGCGTTCATGACAGCATGGTAATGGATTGTTATAGAGAACCGCAGTGATGCGTCCTAAAACCCGGATGTAAACTCCTTCCGGTTCCTTCGTCAAAAACGCAATGAAATTTCTCCATAGGATTTTGGAAAACAGCTGGAAATAAGGTCTGTGGTTGACACACATTTAAGAGATGGATCACGTTTTGTTCAGCCGGATAATATCCACATGTCTATCCTACTTTTATAATTTTCGAAGCATAAATCTAGTCGCAAGAAGCAAAATGCTAACGTTATGCTATAAAGGAACTACGGCAAGGTCGCTGCTTCGACGTCACGCCAACTTAAGATCCATATTCAAACATACAGATTGTAAATGGTACAAGTTGAAGTGTTTGTTTGAACAGTTTGCACGAGGCAGGTATTGGCTTTCAAGCAGAACAGGGCAAACAAACTTAGCGGTAGTGTTTTACGTGTTCGGTGTAATGACGTAAAACGGTCTGGACAACTTCTGTAGTCCTATTCAGCCACTTGTTAACAACCATCGTTTTTCAGACACATAAACTCTTCAAAAATCACCAGCGGGGTCACTGCTGATGTATTTAATGTCGTAGAACAAAACGTGATCTGTCTCTTCAATTTGTGTCAAACACAGACCTTATTTGGAGCTATTTTCCAAAATCCTATGGAGAAATCCCATTGCTTTTTATCGAAGGAACCGGACGTGGTAAAAATGCTAACTTACTTCCGGGTTTTAGGATGCGTCACTGCGGTTCTCTATTATGATGGATTTGATATTAACGAGGCGGCAGTTAGCAGCTAGCGGCTAGCTAGTAATTATGCTAATGTATACATCAATCGTTATGTACTTATATTACGCTGTAACAGGATCTAGTGATATCCAAGCAACAGAGCTTCATTTAGCATGAAATAATTATTGCACTGTATATATATATATATACAGTGCAATAAGCTTCTTAGTGCAATAATAAGCTACAGGGACGTTAATCTAACGTCGGTAATATTAACTTTATTTAATACAACATTTACGGTACAAGATTTAATGATACAGCCCATGTAGTATAATATTTTACAAATGATGAATTACAGCAAACATGTGCAATATATCCATTATTACAGCTCCGTGGGCTGGCAGTAAGGCGATATGGGTCCGTTCTTATTGTGCATCCAAGATAAACGCATGTAGTGCTGAACATGTAACATGAACGTGCGGGCGGCGCGGTCCCGTGGGTTAGATGCGCGTTCATAATGCAGAGGGAAATAACTCTCAGAATAACGTTATTAGCACATTTTTACAACTTGAGGAACGAATGTTTTGAATAAGGGCTATACAAACGTTCATACTGGGTAGTTTATTTAGTTTTAAAAAAATTATCCAAAGAGTTACAGACCACTCTTTCCCCATGTAAGTCAATGGGAAAAAGTGTTTCCGGGCCCAGCAACCTAAAGGAAGTGTAGTACCGCCGTTTGACCAGCACGAATATTCTCATCAGACTCCGGCGCACTTCCTGGGGGCTTGGCTCGCCGCGCCTCGCTCTCAAGGCTGCGGGCGTCTTTGTCCCGCGAGATTTCAACGTCTCATGTAGGCGAGCCTCCAGAGCAAGGCTGCTTCTCAGGTCGACTATTTTCATTTCCTCGCTCCTCGGTCTCACCGGAAGTTAATTTGCCTGCGCCATCTTGAGTACCCCATGGCTCTTATTTCTGCCGGAGGACCGAGGATCGAGGAGCGAGGAGCGATCATAGAGGAGCGATAACCGAGGAACCACCAGACTATCCTCCGATGAAATCCTCAGATACTCACCCCGCCCCCTTACTGTGTATCGCTCACTGATTGGACGATGCAGTGCATGCACTGATCTGATGCTTCTTGACATGAGAGCAGTTTCCCAGCGGAGTGAAGAAAATACATGAACCTCACGGGACTCAGTCCTCAGTTTATACCGTGTTTTGTTTCAATTCATGTATCATTTAGTTACAAATATGTGATATATCTGAACAACAAAGTGGTCAAAAATAATTTTATTCATTTATTGGAAACATTTTCATGATCGCTTTTTTCGTTTCACATTTTCATTTATTGTCATTTCCATTCAGTCAGTCATTAAAGGAGGGGTAGGTAAGTTTGAGAAACGGGCTCGAGATCGCTAGAATTTGAAAATACACAACCGGAGAAAATCTGCCACTTCCTTACAGAGCCCCTCCTCCAACACACACGAACGCGCACATGACCAATGAGGGCACGAGATAAGTGTGTGCCCCGATGGCAGGCTGACAGGCAGGTAGGCCATCCAATCCGTTTAGCTGGGCCGGTGTCAGTACCAGATATGTTCGGGCTACCAGATATGTTCGGGTGTATTTCCGTCGCATCCGTCATCCGTCATATCCGTCTACTCACCTCCCTCTGCTCCCAGCGCTCTGCTGCCACACACCGGCCGTCTGCGGAACTGCAGCCGGAGGAACTCGGTACAGCACATAAATAATGTTTCTAATTATTTACAATTAAAAAATATATATATTCTGCGTTACTTTAGCCAACACTTTTATAATATATAAGCCTGATCATGTCGTTGAAAGCAAGTACAGATGTTCTCCCTTTTCCACAGTTCTGTGTGAACTTCATCTAAGGCAGATGCTTTGCTTCTGCACCAGTTTAGCAGAAGTCTGTTTTGTAAGACTGGTTTTGTTGCAGTCTGTTCATGCTATGTGTTTCTTGCGTAAGACTATATACACACGGAACACATGTATTACAGGGCTGTACCCAGTGTGCTTCATAAAACATTTTTGAAGCTTATTTTTTTTAAATTAAGCCGTTTCCATGTTATAACAGCATCTCGTTAAATCAATATCGGAAACAATAATTGTTTTTTTGTGGTTGTTTAAATGTAATTTATGGTGCTGTTAGAGTGCTTATAGACTGACCCGTTAATACAGATGCCCCCCCCCCCCCCCCCTTTGTGTGCGGTGAGCTGGAGAGAAGGCAGTCTATTTATTGTGGTGAAAATGTTGTTTAAAAAAAACCCTAACATATATGGATTGAATCAGAATATTGTGTTGGATCAAAACATATTGTACATTTTGAGAATTCTTACATCTATTACAATACATTTTGAGCTTTGGACAATGTTTGGATCAAACGAGCCAGAAACAACCTTAAGCAGCCACCACTGGAATATTATTGCAGTAATATTATAACACGAAAATTTCGCGGTCATTATGGGGAAGCGGAGGGATCTAGATCGTTCACACATAACAAGCTGTACCGAGTTCCTCCGGCTGCAGTTCGGCAGACGGCCGGTGTGTGGCAGCAGAGCGCTGGGAGCAGAGGGAGGTGAGTAGACGAATATGACGGAAGACGGATGTGACGGAAATACACTCGAACATATCTGGTAGCCCGAACATATCTGGTAGCCCGAACATATCTGGTACTGACACCGGCTAAACGGATTGGTTGTACTTTTTACAGTATTACGGCTTCTACAGATGACATTTTTTCATGGATTTTTGGTCAAAGCACTTCAGATATTCATTGCTATCGGGATGTTAAGAGCATTCCATGGAATATAACAAAAAGTGTATCTCAAGCCGGTTTCTCAAACTTACCTACTGCTCCTTTAAGTGCTATTAAAATATTAATGTGCTACATATCCAAACAAACAAACAAAGTGTGCAATCCAATGAATGTTAATCTAACTGGGTTTTGATAGATAACATATCTCTTTTTCTTCTCTCAATTATTTTATTTCTATTGTGCACTCTAATCAATATTAATCAAACTATTGTTCGTTTAAATACATTTTAAGAATGGCGTTTATCTTTTTTGAGAATGACTTCTTATTTTATTTCATGTATTTGGATCTACAACAGATGATACTAATGTTTATGTCAGTAAATGTGCACTAACAGAGGCGGGGGTGTTTGTGGAAATAACGGGGACAGAGCTGCTGCCAGACGAACAGCTGTGCAGCGTCATCACAAACGGACGTCGCTTCACGTGACGCTCCGGAGGAAAGGACGTCCCATTGCTCTTAAAACTAATTTCCCTGCTTCTCGTGGTTTCCTTGCGTCCCTCCATGCTTCCATGGTGGGAGGGACTAACCGCAGGGAAACGACGCAAGTGAGGGAAGCAAGGATTTCATTTAATCGACCTGAGAAGCAGCCCAAGTCGGACAACATGACTAACATGCAACGCACTAGCAAGACGTTGATTGCTACTGCGCAGGTCTCGTTTGTCTCAAACAAGCCTAGTGCGTTGCAACGGACTAGCAAGACGGCGATCGCTATTGCGCAGGTCTGCGTCGGTCTCGCTCGTCTCAAACAAGCCTATTTTCTCTCCACGAGCTGCAGAAGCGAAATGCTTGATGGGTAACGACTCGCTGGTATCTCGAGCTGAGCGCTCATTGGTGGTTTTCACCCCGTGCTGCTGATGAAACTCTCCAATTGGCTCTGCAAAAGTGTGTTGTTGTTTTGTGTCAGTTTCACGCCGCCACTTCCATTCACATTTGTCATCATTGTTCCACAATGTTTATCATCATGAAATGAATATCTATATATTTTATACTATACTTGCACTGCTTACCGTTTTCATACTTTATATATCTTAGCATATTCATACACACTGTTAATACTGTTCATACTGCTCATAGGCTGCTGTGTATATCTAGTGTATTCATACCCCTCACTGTTTATTCATCATTCAATTAATTCTATATTTTATTCTGTAGATTGTGTAGGCCTACATCCTGGTTAGTAGCTAAACTGCATTTCGTTGTCTCAGTACCTGTAATCTGTGCAATAACAATATAGTTGAATGATTCTAATCTTGAGCAGAAACAAATGTATTTACTTAGTACATATCTGACATTAACGATTATACACATTTGTGCATTCTTTATAAATGCAAACTGGTCAAGACCACTAACGGAAGTAGTTTTGAAAAGTAATAAGTGGTTCTGTCTTTTACATGTAGGATTACATTTGTAGTGATATAATAATTGTGGGATTTCTATTGCATCCACTTCATCTGCAACGAAGAACGCCAGCGCAATTTCCGCTGCAATCGGCTACTCTCGTCTACTAGGCGAGCCGCAGCTCATCTCAAACAAGCCGCAATTCCTGCACGTCTATTGGTCGATTTTTCCTGTCTATCAAAATGTACTGTTTCGATTCGGCCAAATCACCTTTAAACCCCTCTCTCTCTGCATCGCTCTCAACAATAGGCTGACTGGCGTCCCAATTGCAGTCTTTGAATCACCTCATTGGTTGTTTGCCTAGTCAATCAGACCACTCTTGGCCGTGATTGGCTGCTCTGTCAAAAGTAGGTGGTAAGTTTCCGGAAAATACATTTCCTTGTCTGTCATATGCGAAGCTAAGGGAAGAAGAACCAATGTATCCTCTGGATAAATAAATATACCACTTTTCTAACGGAAGAAACACGCCAGGCATTTGAATTATACATGATATACAGCCTCAATTTGACCCAGGTAGCTTAATGCTAAATGTAGCCGCCGTTACGCATCAGTGTTTGTTAAGCTAGCTGTTATCACGCCGCTATCTGACTGCAGCCCCCTGCTCTCCAAACACACCGCCTTTGTGGCTATGAGTACGGATTTACTTTCTGATTTGGACAGTCGTTTCTTCGCTGATAACCTCCTGACAAGCGAAGACTGGGGTGAGTTCACGTTTAATGCATTTATAATGTAAATACACGTGTGTTGAAACGATACAAAGCTAGACGGGTGTGATAACGGGCGTGTGTGGATGCCCCACAGTAGTGTTCCGAAGCCGGGGAGTATAAACTGCGAACCCCCCTCCCCCATGGAACATTTCCATTGAGAAAAAATAAGGGTGTTATTTAATAAAGAATGTGTGAAACTATGCCCAAGATGCCCGTAGCACACGGTTGCAGTGTGTATGTGTGGTTCCTCCGCCAGCAGACCCGGATATGCCTGTTTATCTCTAACACGGTGTGTGGAAACGAGATCACACATTTATAGAAGCACTTGTTCCTTCTGGTCTGTTCTCTTCCTTTAACTCTGTAAGAACCACCGTTTCTCGTCTTGTGTTGCTTGGTTAAACTCAGTCATTACACAAGCATGGGCATATGGCTTCTAAGTGGTTCGTTTGAGAAGCATGCTCAATAAATCCACCAAACTGAATGTACTTAAAAGATTACACCAAACTGAATGAAGTTTTAGCAGGTTATTGTACACCATTAGACACCTGTTTTAAACTTGAACAACAGGGTATGGACCTGCTCCTGTCTGTCTATCATGTTAACATATTAGATTAGATTCAACTGTATTATCATTGCACAGTACAAACGTACTGAGACAACCACTGGTGGAAGAAGTACTCAGATGTGTTACTAAAGTAATACTAATAACTTACTTAAATAACAGTACAAACGTATTGACATTAAAACATACTTAAAGTACCACAAGTAAAAGTACTTATTATGCTTAAGGGCCCATTTCAGAATCATATTACATTACTTGATTATGGTGTGTTTATCTCAGATCTCATTTGAAGGAATTGATATACTGCTGCTGGATATCATAACCTATAGTTATATTTCAATGATTATTTAATAATGTATTAATATGTGGTATTAGCTAATAATCTACATAAAAAACTAGCAACTAAAATGTGTTAAATAATATATAGAGCAGTGGTTCTCAAACTTTTTTCAATAATGTACCCCCATTGAAAAACAAATTCAGCCAAGTAGGCCTACCCCCTGATCATCGCAAACACTATTTGTTAGGGAATACAAGCCTAAAGAGGTACAGTGCAGCGCTGCACCATCAGTGTCTGATTTATTAAAACAACAACCTTGTAACTGAGAAACACTTAAATGCTACATTTCAAATGTTTACAATCCATCACTAAATTCATGGCAAACCAATTTTAACATCATGCACTAACACTGAGACGACATTAGTTGCATTGAACTGATCTTTTTAATAAGTTGTACTTACAATGTAGTGAAACATGGGCTTGTGCTTCACTGAGGATCTTTGTCATTCTGACAGGGAGGCCACTGCAGTTATTACACTTTGCGTTTTGAAATATGTGTAACTCTGTTAATATAAAACCCACACTGCTCCTACAATTTGTATATCTATTTATTTTGGGGCGTGGGGAATGAAGAGAAAAAACATGAGCATTTTATGAGCATGGGATTTTGACCCCTCCTATAAACATATGCATAATGCTGCGCTATACTTTGCGGCCACACGCCGTTGCCAAGCAACGCTTATTGTTTAGGTCCTTTGATAAGCAGGCAGTCATATCATTAACTAGAACTAGCTAGATCTGATAGATTTGGACATAAACGCGAGTGAAGTCTAACCGGACGCGAGAGAGAGATCTGGGGCCTCATTTATAAAGGGATATACGCTCAAAAAATGGCGTCCGCCAGTTTCTACGCAATGTTTGCGATTTATAAAATACTAACTTGACGGGAAAACGTGCGGTCCTCCACGCAAACTCTAACCCATGCGTGCGCACTAAGCACAAACACGGGAGAGACGAGAAACTGCGATACCGTTGGCAGACGGAAGAATGGAGAGAAATATGTGGAAATAATACCATAAATAAAATGTTACCTCTCATTTATCATATGAAGAATTCATTTTCAAACATTGATTAAAGCCAATCTTAAAATGATTAAACAAACGCCTGTTTGAGACTCCTCAGTGCACACAAACACATAACTTGGAGAAATACATAAATACGGATATGTTATTAAAAACCACCTCGAATATGTTGTGTTAATGTTATGAAATGTTTTCTCATAAATGATGCGGTTTTGCATTTCTATAGGTTGTACGAGCATGGTTTTATATACTATCACGTTTAATCATGTGTTATGCCGTTTGCTAAGACTTGATAAGTCGCTCATAAAACACAGGAGGTATGGAAACTAAGAACACCATATGTGGTAAATTGTACAGCTAATATAACACAACACATTAGTTGTATTTCCTTTAACTGCATGGTGGATATAGGGTTGCTGCAGTGGAGACGCTGCGCACAGCTGATCGACAGCTGGGACACAAACCACCAAATACAAAAACATAATTCAGATCCAGTCGTCATGACTCCACTCTGGAGGGATTCCCCGATCACTTCTTACAGTCTCTCATCAAGGGGGGGTCTCCTGTCCCCGGTACAAACACACTGCCTGAGGAAGGCTATGTGTATGTTTTTGTCATGAACCTTTTTCGGACCACTTATTTATTTATTTTGGTGACGATCCGACCTCCATGCTGCTACTCTGGTTAAAACGGCATCCACCAAACAATATGATTGATCTCGACCTCCCCAAAATAACCAGAATCTGACACGGTGTGAGATGTATTTTTTAGCTGTTCTGTCGTCATTTCCTGCGATCTTCTTCATAAAGTCAGTCAGAATGAATGAATGGGCGTTTCTTTGACTATTTATAGGCAAATATGGGCGTTACGTGAAGCCCGCAAAAGCTGCACCGCATTTCGAGTCGAATGTGATTTATAAAGGGAAACCGGCGTAGGAAGTGCCGTACGCACTTTCCTCGCCGGTACGCAATGTTTGGTGAATCGGAAAATGTCGGAACATTTCTGTACCTATTTTTTGGATTTCTACTACGTAAGCAACCTTCCCACGTGAATCCTACGCACGGCGTTATACATGAGGCCCCTGGTCAGCTGCTGAGTCTGACGGAGAACACGCAGCTCTGCATGATCACAGCTCCGCCGCTGTGACGGACCGTTGAGCAGAGCAAAATGAAATACACTAAGAGTTAGACCTAACACACTTAGCTAGTTAATCTACTCTGGAACTAGCTAAACTAGTTATACATATATGTATTCTTTACTGTCGGGTCACTCATTACAGGTTCAGCGAGCTGCACGAGCCTGACGGGCTGTCAGGAGAGGGAGAGGAAAAGAGAGCACCCCGTTTATTGTTCCCATTTTATTATCCAGAGTTTCTGTAAACCTTTGAAGAAAGTAGTTCATCTACTATTAGTAGTTTGTTTACATTTTTTTCATTAACATAAAATAAATCTCACGTACCCCCTGCAGTGCTCCAACGTACCCCTATGGGTCCGCGTACCCCCATTTGAGAACCACTGTAGAGTAAAGGATAAAGGAGCATAAAGTGAAAACACTCAACATTGTATGCAGTTTAGCATCTAATCAGGAGTGCAACAAACTGAAGTGCAGAGCAAGAGTAAGACATATATTCCAAATAAAATGTAGGATCAAAATAAGGATAGTAATACACAACACAATGTGTGAGCAATATTAACAGTGTGTATGGATTCAAAGTATGCACATAGTACAGTGCAAGTAGGAATGAGCAATATGGAGAAAAAACATTATTTTTGACCAAATACCTCAATATAACATATTCGCTTTCACAAAATATTTACATGATTATTTAAAAAATGGTAATGTGGATTTACAGTGGGTCAAGGAAAAGAATGCACACGCCTGTTGAATTCAGGAAATGACATAGCATTTCTGTTATGTGGAAGCTTTTTGAACAGCAACATATTACAGTATCTTTAAACTCTAAGACAAGATTTAGTCTCATATCATAATACTGATAATACTGATATATTACCGAACCTTAAATGCAGGAAACAGTATAGAAGTAATGCTCATACGTTGACAGCATATACAGGATAAACAGCTGGAGGCATGATGTGAAAACTGTGTATAATCATCAGTGGTATATATTCTATAGAGTAGTGCAGTGTGGGAAGGTGAGTGTGTATTAAACATAGTAGTAAATGGCTTTTGGTGTAGTCAGAGTACATAAAAGAAGATGCATGATAATGCAGACTTATTTGCATATACGTTACTGAGGCTGTGTTAAGAGTGACGTCCTGGGAGCCCTATAGTATCCATCTTTCCACATATCTATATATCTCTTAAACCAATCAGAGACACACAGCAGTGAAACATAACCACCAGCTGCTGTAACGTTGTGTTACTACATTTAGCAGGTAAACATTAAGACTGACCAGGTCTTCTGTCTGTTTAACTCTTCTGTTGTTCTTAGAGGAGATTAGAAGGAGAAGTGGGTCAATGCAGCTGCAATAGAGATGGTACAGATGGAGGCTAAAACACAATGGATATTGACGGCAAAAAAACCACTGAGGGTATTTGGGAGAAAGAAGAGAGCATTAAACAGGTTGCACTTCTTTTCAAATGGGTCCTTAAAAGAAAAAGGCTGTATCATTTAGTGGTGCACGATAATTATCGGTCCGATATTAGGAATGATGACGTCAGCCCAATAAACCCGATAAAAGTATTAATAGCCCCGATAATATACAATATATTTTTAGGGTAAAAAAAAGAAACAAATACTGCGGTGTGGGTGGATTGGGATGAGGGGCGCTTGTTTTTCCCTCGGCTCCTCCCGTTTTGCCAGTACTGTGGTATTAGTGGTTTAGGAAGAGGGGAGTTCTTCACAAATCCAGCGCTCCCTAACTCATGCCTGGCTGTGACGTAAATGCTGTGCGGCCGTGAAGCCAGGACAGTAAACAAACATGTCGTCGGTAGTATGGGACTATTTCAAAGTTTCAGAGTTAGATAGTTCGCTTGCTATTTGTATTAACAAATGCAGAAGTTCCACGAGGAGGGAAAAAGGCAACAAGCTATAATACTTCCAACCTGATTAGTCACCTGAAACATCGCCATCACTACGATTGTGTGTTAAAAGCGTACGAAGACGCCTGCTCTGCTAAACTAGCGGCGAATCCAAAGCCAGCTGTAAAGGCACCGGGGCTTTTACCTATCGACGAGGCTTTTGAAAAAGGCAAGAACTTTATTTGGGAAAATAAATATGGTCACTTTGAAGAGTCAAAACTGTTCTTAGCTTTGTTTTGTTCATAGTAGTAATGCTCATGTCATTTGCTCACTACTAGTCTTTGTTTTACCACCAGGTGTGCAAAAACTACAGGTACATTTAATATATATATATATATATTATTATCGGTTATCGGTATCGGTCTTGAGAAGCAGGAAGTTATCAGTATCGGTTTAAAAAACCAATATCGTGCATCCCTAATCATTTCATTAATTATCAACAGATGTGATTATATTTTGTTTGTAATATCAATCTTAATATGCAAAAATGTTGTTGAATAAATGTAGTTGAGTACAATATTACCCTCTGAGATCAAGTATTTTACAAATTGGAAATACTCAAGTGAAGTACACATAACATGACTTAACTACTAACTCCTTTTTTGAAATGAATAGGTACATGTTGTTGTTTTGATGTTGAAGAAAGTAAACATGAATAACATGTGTGGCAGTACATTAGTTCCTGCAGTGTTATGACATTTGAATATGTGATATCTGGAGTACAGAGCAAATATGTGCTGCTACACCAGCGATTCACACCTGCTCTCTTGGACAGGATGTGGTTCAATAAGAGCCTCCCTGTTTGTTTCAGTGTCAAAGTCCACACGCGTTTTTTCTTCTCTGCATCATCAAATAAGGCAAAGCAGGACTAGAGTCAGACAGGGTCATAGTGAAACCCTCTTTACCATATGCTGCTTAGAAATACCAACATTTTTTTATCTGTCATTTTTATGTTAACAAATTAACCAGGCAATTCACCCTTGTGGAACTTTTTCCTCTCGATGTGTGGGTTTATTCTGGTTGTAGGCAAACTGGTTATATCTTACACAGGCTCCGCCCTCTACTGAACTCTATGGGTACTACCCCTTGACCATACTATGCGAGCGTTCACCTACTGAGATATCTTTAAACGTAGCCAGCCCCTCGGGGCGGGCCTACCTGAGTGCGTGCGCAAGCCCACCGTATATAAGGCGGCCTCGCCTCCTGGCTGTCACTGTGTTTTATGAATACTCCCACACTTCTTCAAGGATCCAAACAACATTGTCATCCTGTAACACAGGCTTGCTCAATGGAATGCAGCTGTAGCTTAGTAGTCCATCAGGCTGCACATTACAAAAATATCGTTAGAAAAAGCAGAACTGGTGCATTCTTGATGAGAACAACAAAACAAACAAAATCAATGATGGATTCATCTTGGCAGAGACTATGGCAGGCATCTTAAACATTACAACATTTCAGATCAGGAGAACATTGTCCCTCAACATGACCCCTACACCGTTCGCATAGAGGGTCCACCACGTTAAGGGCTGTTCCAATCCAACAAGTGTGGAGTGGGAGTGGGTTATCAAGAAAGTCTGCATCACCTGACTTCACCTGCTGCTCTACCTGACCGACTCAACGCTGTGTGTGACCGTCATCAAACACACGGTGTACAAATAGTTCCGTGCAAACAATCACTGATAAACTGCACAACAAGATAGATATTTCATATTCTCATACAGATGTTAACAACGTCATGGTTACTTTGTATGTTATTACTTAGCATCATATACCCGTGTCTAGGAAACAGTAACGTGTGCATTTGATTGTAAAGCTTTATATATTTACAGGGACTGGTGAATAAACCAAGCACCTCATGAACATAAGATTTGTATTTTTGTTGACTTGCAAAATGATCTTTTAAATGGACAAACATCATGTGTGTAATTCATGGCACAATTCAAACGGGATGGAAAGATACTCTTTCTCTCTCCATCGACTTTAATACATCATTTTTCAGAAATAATGTCCCATGGGGCGGAAGTAGATGGGCGTGACTTTGCCACTCTATTAACACCCCCCACCTGCAAGAAGGGAGCCTCGTTCAGCTGCGGTTTGGAACTGGGCCTTAATCACTAATCTTCGTTGGCCCAATCACCACGCTTCTTTCTTCGATGTTATCTGATGATCGGTGTATTTGTGTCGCATGGCATACGTGCTTCACTAAAAAGAAGTTGCACAATTCATAGGTGCTACCGGCCACTGCTTCTACATCATCATCATTGCCATAGCGACCTGCCCTCTCTGTTTGGTGGTGTTTGATGTTAAAGATGTGTTGTGTGGAAAGTGAACGAAGAAAGAAATGACAACTAAGACTAATGAACTCTCTGGGACACATTCTACATGAGATATCATTTCAAATGTTAGCTGGCTTTTTATTGTTGCATAGTCAAATATTGGATAATAATAAGGTTGTATTTTATATCTGTGTTTCCCTCTTCAGATGCCTGTCTGTACCAGTGTGAGAGCATGGAGGAGGGTGAGGACGCTGACTTCAGCAGAGGGGTGAAACGCGAGCCGGCGGTACGTACGGAGACAAAAAGAAAGTGATACTGTTAAGAGCTCTGGTTTCTGTCCCGGACTGAGAGAGAAACCGATGCTCGGCCTCCTGTACAAAAACTCCAGTCATTCAGTGGCACAAATGAAACATTTCAACGTTGCTTTTGGAAAGTTGAAACTGTTTTCTCTGGGGTTTAGCATCATTTGATAGTGTCTGGGCCCCTCTTTTGTAAACGACATTATGTTGAAGCCCTTCCAACTGCATGCAGCCACATAAAGAAACACTTACCTTTGCTTGCATACTCCTACAGTATATACGTTCTTTGAAACATCTTCTCAAATGTAAGCTTAAGTGAAACAAAAGGAACAACTTGCTTTAAAAGTGTCACTGCAGCATGCATCCTTAACACTAGAACCGCCAACGGGTACATTTTACCCGCAGCTGTTCTTTGATTGTATGTCACTTTTTTTCAATAACATATTAAAGTCTCCCAGTCCGTGACTTTTCCTGAAAGTGTGTTATGTAGCATCCTCTGTAGTTAACAATTGTCAATATGAAGTCAGATTGAAAAAAAACTCGGATTGAGAAGTGCCTATCTCCAGAAAAAAAAGCACCTAAACGACGACAATGCTCAGCTATCTGTCTAATATGTTCGCTAGCTGTTATTGTTGTTGCACTATGTTCTGTGCAGAAGGCAACGGAGGGATGATTTGATTTTATTCCCGGGCTGATTTTTAGTCCCAGTCCGCCACTGAACGTAGCTATTATGTAAAGTGCTGGTATATATATATACACTAACTGTGCTCCCCCCCCCCCCCCCCCCCCAGAGTTGTAAATCAAACAAGTGAAGTACATGTTATGTTATAAAGCCGTGGAGGGCGGTAGTTTATAAACCAAAGAGTAACCGCCCTTACGGGACGCTGTAATAAATAAAGCGAACGCACCCGCAAGGACACCTGGCCTCCTATTGGTTGAGGGATTTTGACAGGATTGTTGCACAAAAGTTTCGAGCGCGCACAGAATAAATCTGAGAGCAGAAATGTCACGAGCGCACAGAAACAGCCTGAGTGCGAGGAGAAGGTTTGAAGCTGGAACACAGGAAATCTGTAAGCAGCAATATATCTGATAGCAAGCAGAAGCAGAGCAAATCTAAGTGCAAGCAGGCACTATTTGAGTGCGAGGACAGGGTTAGAGGGAAAGAAATACATAAAGTATGCTCTCTAATTTAAATACCACGCTCTTGAATAAAGATAGGGAATAACCCCCATATGTCTGGAGGGAGTTTTGATATCTGCAGACCAATTGAAGACCATTTCCATGCTCAAAAACCTATATAAACACCAGGAACAAAAACAAAAGGCATCATATGAACAATTAATTGATGAAATGTAAGTATCAAAGCAGCATGAATATTCCATATCTTTATTGTGCAACAGCAGTTATTGCCTTATACTATATTAGTAGTATACCACATCAGGTGATATACGTTTTTATATTAAAGCAACTACTAACTAGTCCAACAATGTAGTGACTTAAGAATCACAATATTAGCCTCTGAAATCGAGTGTATTAGAAGTATAAAGTAGCGTGAAATTGAAATACTTAAGTAGAGACGTGAATTATTTCTTTAACTCTGTATTTTGGAATATTGGCGTCTCTCATTTACATTTTGTTGGCAGCAGCATAAACGCTGCAGTTAAAGCCCCCAGTTAGTTCAGATGATGGGTCAAAGGATAATCAGGCTAACTGTGTCAGATGGCTGACTCACACGCATGCACGCACGCACGCACGCACGCACGCACGCACGCACGCACGCACGCACGCACGCACAAATCCAGCCAGCGGTTGTTTTGCAAAATCGTCCACCTGACTCCCTCCTTCCTCTCCCTCTCACAGTTTGACAATAACCTTGTGTTCACCCTCGATCCTGACAACCCCACGTCGCCATGGCAACACCTTGACGAAAACCTTCTCACAGGTAACAGACCGGCCTATCACAGGCCTTCAGTGGAAACATGAAACCAGCTGCGTCAGTGTTTTGCTTTCAAGTCCATTAAACAGGAGCTGCTTCATCCTCACTGCTGACGCAGCGGTGAGGGTGGAAAACATTTAATAAGATTAAAAGCAACAGCAGTTCTGTAATAATACTGTTTTTATAAATAAACTATCTTTGTACCTGGATATATCAGGATTAAATAAGGAGGATTATGCTGCGCTATTCTGTATTTTTCTTGACATCAAATCCTGTGAAAAGACCAAAACCAACACTGGGTCCATTTCTCAATGCTCTATTACTTCCTGCCTTTGTCAATCCGTCCCAAGCCAATTGGTTTCTACTTAAGACATTCTTTAGAAATCACCTCAGGAATATTTTGTTTTTATTCAAGCGACCTTCACTCAAACAAAGAGGGTCAATAGGCTTTTGTTCAGGACTTTTTTCAGCGGTGTATAGAGTGGTACAGGCATGACTATAACCCGAAAATGTAAGACTTTTGGTTCCCACAAATGTTTTTTTGGTTAGTTGTCTGAAATAAGGTCTGTGGTTAATATACAAGCTTAAGAGACGTCATGCTTTCTTTTAGGATGTCACTAACTGCTCCACTGAATGTAGCTTCTGTGTGTCATAAAAACAACGGTTGCCAACATATGACTAAATAAGACTTATGCATCATCACACTCAACATTAGCGTCCTTTAGCTTAGCCGTGGTGATGCGTAGTTTAAGTCGAAACATAGGTTTCGTTGACTATATGAATAACTAACTATAACATGTTGAATACCATCGCAAGACTCATCTTTTACAAAGGAAAAACAACATCCTTTAAAAGACATGAAGTTGCTTCTTTCCGTTTTGAATCCGTGACTCGTAAAGCTCGTCATAAACTCTCATTATTCTTTGTGTAAAAATAATCTTTCAGTTATGTTTCAACTTAAAGAACAGCACAATGATAACCAACTCTTATATCCCTGTAAGCTTTTTTCCAAGCATATCATAGCCATAAATAATGTTGTATTCTATGTATTGTTTTTTCACCATCAGAAAGTGATGCAGCTGAAAGTCAGACTGTTGCTGTCATCAACTCTTTGTTAGATGAGGAACTTATTTGATATTTTTGCAGTACCACAGATTTTGGTGGGACATTTTTGGTGGAATTGTTTCCCTGAACAAAAGGTCCCACTCCTCACAAACACTCCAACTTAAACATTCATCTTTATCATCTATATTTGATTGTAGACTGCTTCTCCTACTGTTATGTCTTTTGAATGAGTTTGCAGATGTATTATTATTATTATTTGAAGTAAGCCTTACAAGCTCACATTTGAGCCTTGGTTTGGCAGTTTGAAATCCTCTGTCTTAACATACTCGTGTCATTCTTCTCTGAAGGGGAGGCTCCTGTGATAAAAAGTGAAATGACCATCACTAAGCCGTTACCTGTGGAAATGTGTAAGTTTTCTGAGTTCTGATCAATTTAACAAAAACAGATTTGCTCAAATTGTCAGTATTTCATTAGTTAATGTGTTTGGTTGTGTGTCCAGTGTTCCAGGTGAAGGCAGAGCCTCCCTCTCCTGCATCCTCATTCAGTTCTGAATGCTCTGCAGCATCCCCAGACCCTCAGGTGTGTGTGTTAACTAATGACTTTTGATGAGTTGTGTAAGCATGCGTCTCGTTTATCATCATAAACATTGATTAGTGAAGGTTTTTTGCTCTCTCTAAAACAGTGGTTCCCGACCTGGGGGGCGCCAAAGATCGCAGGGTCTAAATAATATCCTATTTAGACTTTTTTTTTTTACATATAATTGTAAGGCAATACATGATTGTCACTAAAAGCCTTGTCTCTACATTACAATAAAATATAAAAAATAATTGATTAATTAATTTGAATAACAATTCAAGTTAGTATTAAAGGCATAAAAAGACAGAAATGTATAATTATTTCTTTAATAGAAATGTTTCTTCTGCCCATAAAGTGTCCAAACCAGGCTTGTCTGGATAAGCGCATTTTTAAAACAGTCATTGTCCATGCCGGTTTCAGTTGGATTATTTGTCACAGTTGCTCCGATCAGATCGGTCTCCTCCATTTTGTAGATTATTTACGACTTTTGAATCCACATAAACACATCGGCAAAATCCGGCTTACTTTGAGCATGTGTTTTAAACAGTTTAATGCCTTTGTGAATTGTTTCCACTTGTGCCGTCCTTTCATTTCTTCATACAGCGGGAATCCAAATGAATGAATCCTGAGTCCAATAACCATCAAAGTCACTTCAATAGTGCTCCTTGATTACGCTTTCATCCTCCTTCAACAACATACTTCACATTCATCCAGTTTGTGACAGTAGTTGTTGCATTTGAGACTTTAATTACCGCTGTTGTGCCCCCCCCCCCCCTCCAACAGGAGTCATTTGGGGGGGCTCTTGGGAAAAAAGGTTGGGAACCACTGCTCTAAAACATGGAAAAGGAAAAAACGACTCAAAGTGACAAATCACAAAAGAGCTACAACTGTGATTAACTCAACCCAGTCTGTTCTCCTCCTCTTGGTGGATATTAAGCTACCATAAAAACAAAAAACATGTCTTTTCACATTAAAAGTCTTCCTATAAATGTGAAAAAGCTGGAGAAAGAAAACATTTTAAAAGGAAGTTAACATGCTGAAACGTTCAAGGTTGCATTAACTGAGGACATAAATATATATATATATGAAAATATAAATAGATGAATATGGACATATAAATGATGTCTCTAATACAAGGGTCTGAAAAAAAACCCTGCTACAATGCCAACATTTAGAAATGTTCTTTATGTAATATAATTAAACATAAGACATTATGTTTGCAGCAGCATAAATCAGATGTCGTAGTACAGATTATTAGAAGTTATTTACATGTATACAAATCTGACTGCGTCTTCTCTTCCAGATCACAGTTAAAGGGGAAAACCCCCCCACTCCTCCCTACATGTACGGAGACGTGCTGTCCCCTCCGCTGGGGTCCTTGGAGGTCACCGTGGCAACTTCAGCTAAACCAAAGGCCCAGCTACAGGCCCAGCAACAGGCCCAGCTACAGGCACAGCTACAGGCGCCGTTAGCAGCACAGATCCCAGCAGTCCTCGGTGGGATTCAGACGCAGGCTTCAGGTAGCGCCACACACCAACATGTGTTTGTTTTTCTCTGGGAGTTGTAGTTCAGAGTCCTGAAGCCTGCACTACGAAGCCAGATTTTCACTTAGTGAGGTAACTTCAGGGTTAACTCTGGGTTTCCGTTCCTACGACGCTGGTTCTCTTCTTACCGGGCTAGATCTCCACGGTAACTTGTGCTGAACGGCTAACCTGCTCCGGAGCAGGTTAGGTTGCAGGCTGAGATGAACTCAGTGAAAGCACTGCCTGCTGACCAATCAGAGCTCAGTGTGCGGAGTTTAAAGCGATCAAGTCATATTACAGGAGAAAGGAAATACAGAAAAGCTGCCGTTGCAGGAAAGACGGCCGGCAAAAATCACCGACTGTGTGAAGAAAGAATATCACCTCCCATCTTCAGAGCAATCTGACTATTATAACATTAGCGTTAAGAAAGCTTACTGAAATATCTGCCACAACATAAGTAACCGGATCAGAGTAACATTAAGTACAGTCCGCAGCATATCACTTCATAATGTATCATATATCTCCTTATCTGAGTCAGCTGAGCCGTATCTGGCCGTGCAACACTCACAGTGTCACATACTGTATGCAGAAGTATTATTTTAAGCAACACATTAAGTTGACGAAACACTCGAGTCAAATGTAATTAAAGTCAGATCGTGTTTTAGACGGGGCAGTGATATCATAAACCTGTTAATGTACGCATTCAAACACTTTTTCTGTTACCAGCTGTATTCACCTTGCAGGTGCAGCTATGTGGCTTTTATCCTGGATCAAGTGTTTAAGTCATGGATGTTTAAAGTTTAACTTCTTAATTTGTCTAATATTATAGTTCACTTTTCATTCAGGAAGTATGACGCTGCGCTGTCAGTACGCTTCTCCCTGTTTGTGATTGGTCAAATGTTGCTAACCCCGCCCCTTTCACATGAACGCGCTCTCAGCCGGACAGAGAAACCCTGGCTCGGTTACCGAGTTAATAACCAGCGTCGTAGGACCGCTTAGCGAGATCGCGTTTGTTTTAAGGGTTATTTTTTTCTGTCTCCTCAAGTTCTGCCGGGTCCAGCCACGTTAAAGGCCAGCTCCATCCTGAGCACCAAACCTCCCATCCAGCCCAGACCGGTGTGTGTTTCCAGCCTCCCTGTCACCCAGACCCCCGCAGCCCCCAAGGCCCTCATCCTGCAGGGCCTCCCCTCCATGGACCAGAACAGACCTGGTAACAGTCTTTGTGTTTTATTCAAATTCATTTGAAAGCAAGTAATGAAGATGAAGTAAACTATATGTCAGAAAAATAAATACTTTAAGCTAAATGATGCAGAATGTTTTGGAAAGTGACCAAGTAAATGCAGGAGTCTATATACATGTAAATAGAATAAGATACACAAGAACAGAATGTCAAATGAAATATTATACAATAAAATGAAATTCTGTTTATTGTATTGATAACTAGTGTAGACAGATGAATGCTTTACGTTATGGAGGCACGTAGCAGAGCTTGGGTTTTACTGAGCAACACTGAATAACTTCCCTTCAAACATCCTCCAGTCGTCTTGTCTCAGTCTGTCTGCCTCGGTTCCACCCCGGCCATCGTCAAAATGGAGCCTTTGTCCCCCGGCATCCCGCAGCACTGCCCCAGCCCCACAGCCCTGCCCTGTAGCAAACCCATCGTTCCGGCAACGACAACGTTACCTGGCAACAACTGCATGGATATCGATGTGAGTTGTCTGGATATTTCATTGAATCTCAACAAGAAACCTGCCTGTAGTCAAGTGAGCTTATTTTCTTATTTCTTATTATTCCAATATATGTGAACCATATTTGTGTACACACACACACACACACACACACGCACACGCACACGCACACACATGTTGCGTGTTCACATTTGAAATGAAAGTATACATAAGCAGTAGCATTTTAATTGAGAGAATTTGAAGATTGCTCCATTGAGTGACTTTGTAAAAAAAGTTAAATGTTTTAGAAAGCATACAATTTACAAGTAAAGTTTGCTTATCCTGAAAGAGCTGAAGCGTTTCTAAGTGCAATGGTTTGGGTAGCTAGAGGTATGCAGGTTGCCTAGTTGAACTAGGAAATGCGGAAAACGCCCTGGAATGTTGAAAACAAAATATTAATTGCAAAGCATAGTTTAAAATGAGTTGACCTGGTTTCTCAAGACAGACCTTTTTCTTTGCTTTGAATATTAACCTCATTTCCTGGATCTATATCACTTTTTTTGTTTACCTACAATGGCCCTGATACGCCACTTAAATGATTAATACCTCACTGTTAAATGTAAAACGTATTTATGTCTTATTTTAATTGAGGGATAAACCCTGCACCATCTTGCCCACAGGCAGAACACACTCATGGCATTTGGTGCATCGGAAGTATTTAGCCTCAGTCATGACAGAAATATCAAATACATTTGAGCCTGAATCAATGTTGGCATACACGAAAGGCACCTTAAATCAAATGTATTATTATTATGATATCTTACCTGCTTTCCCTCACTGTAGCTAAAGCAACATGTAAGAGATGGGATCTTTTTTGTGTGTGTCAGGTATATGATTTAGAGAGAACACAGTGTAGAAGGTTTAGTAACATCCCACTGAAGCCCTGAGTGTTCCACCTGACACCTCTCACATTAACTGATATATGTTGACTTGGTAGCCTCAGGGTGTTAAACCTTTCCTCTACTTGTGTTCCTCTCGTTCCTTTTTCTCTCCTCTTTTTGTCCTTCTGCCCTTTTCTTCCTCTATTTCAACATCCTGATCATCTTCCCTCCTCCTTTCTTTCACTTCCTCCTCCTTATCCCTTCTTCCTCCCTCCTCCTCCTTTTCTTAAAACCCTTCCCTCCTCTGAGCTATTTCCGTTCCTTCCTCCTTTTTCTTATTTATATGTTTCCTTCTCCCCCCGTTTGCCCATGTCTTCCTAACCCTCCTCCTCCTCCTCCTCCTCCTCCTCCTCCTCCTCCTCCTCCTCCTCCTCCTCCTCCTCCTCCTCCTCCCCCTCCTGCTGCAGATGAAGGTGCTGAAGCGGCAGCAGAGGATGATAAAGAACCGGGAGTCTGCGTGCCAGTCGAGGAAGAAGAAGAAGGAGTACCTGCAGACCCTGGAGGCTCAGCTGAGGGAGGCCCAGCAGGAGAACGAGCGTCTGCGCAGAGAGAACCAGGCGCTGAGGGAGAGGCTGGCCGGGAAGGAGGTGAGGTAGAATAACCCCGGCAAAACTCAATTACAGCGCCATGTGTAATGGCATCAAGGATTTCCTCTTGCCACTATAGACCGGGGTTGACGACACGCAATCCAAAACAATAAGCAGCCGAAGGTTTTCAGTCAAAAAAATGTAATTTATTAACAAAAAGGTATTGACTTAAATAGTCTCAAAATAACAAATCTAAAACAATATTGGGGCGATATACTTTCCTATATAAACTGAACTGCAGTCCAATTTTCAACACCAATCTCTGTCTGCAATTTGCGGTCGAAAAACTGTTCCGCTCCCCGTCTCATCAGGTCTCCGAGCACGCCGGCTGTCCTCAATTACCTCACTTAAATACACACCGGAAGGTACAAGGAAACGGATCATATTTACGATATAAAATGAACAATCATTTCATCAAAACATATTCACCACGGCAACACAAATCACCCCTCCATCACTAAATCATTTATCAAATTATGAATCGAAATAATAACCCTGACTTCATTGTGGCTCTAGCACCATGTCATTTCCACACTCTAGGTGAAAGTAGTTATTGTAGTAGTAGTAGTAGTAGTAGTAGTAGTAACAAAGGCTACAGTTCAGAAGAAAGATTTGTATGTGGAAATGAAGGTGTTTACAGGCCTTTACGTTCATATCTTGTTTTCATCCACAAACCTTAACAGGCTGATACCAAAAGGAAAGAACAAAACAAAATGCTACTCGATGAAAGAGAACAGCAGAAGTAAAGATTCTCTAAGGTTTCTGGTGAGAGTGTAAACCAAGCAGTCACTAAGACCACCTACAAGAGCCTGAGAGAAGCCACATAATGACATCACTGTTTATGACAACAACAATGGCAGACTGTGCACATGTTGCTCTTCTGTTACGAAGCCAGATTGAGATTGCAAACACAATTTAGCCAAATGTATATTCTTTTCCAGGTTGATGTGGCTATTAGAATGCTACTTGGCTGCTTTTTGATCTCGGTACTTATAATTCTTCAACAACTTTCTTCTTGAGCTGTTGTTGTTTGTGATAATCCCACCCCAGCCTCCAGAAAATGTGGTTCTCTGTTTTCGGTGCTCTAGTGTAACCAGAGTTGGAGCCGAGGGCCGGCCTGGCTGCGGTGGAAACATGAACAACTGTTTTCAAATCGGGACCCGATCCACCTTTGTGGAAAAGGCTTAAAGAACGGGGCTGAAATGATGGCCTTCTGTTCCCTTTTGAATTGAAATTCCAGTATTTTCTTCACATTATCAAAGGACAGTATCATGTTAAACATTTATCAGGTTTAACCTCACCGTCCTCTAACCTATCTCACTGCTTATACCACATTTCCCACAAGAAATGGGTGATTATATATTTAAAATAACTATGTGAATATTCAGTAGTTGTTTACATGTGTTTTTCAGGGCAGTGACTCAGCGAGCAACAAGCGAGCCGTGTGTGTGATGGCCGTCCTGCTCTTCATGACCTTCAGCTTCGGACCCGTCAGGTATCCTGCACACTTTATCTAGCATCTTACACCTTACTGCTTTTTCAGGCCTTCTAAAGAGTTACTTTAGTAGTCAAAGAAGTGACTGACTGAGAACATGCCAGAAGCATCTTCATTTTGAAAGAGTATGAACTGATTCATGTAAAATACTCTCGCGCCAATTGTGGCTAAGTTAACAAAAACTATACAATGCCACAATAGAATATAATCGTTTAATGTCATTATACATGTACAATGAGATAAATAAATGATTTGAAATATAATCGTCATCTCATGAAATCTTCAAATTCGAAGAGTAATTTGAGCTCTCTGACTTCTTCTCTCCGCAGCATCACAGACAGGAAGCTGACAAGTCTACAGGACGGGGTGGTGCCGTATACGGGACGGAGACTGCTGGAGTTTGAACAACAACAGAAACAACAACAAAAAGCCCATCAGCAGCAGGCCGCCTCCCCTCCGAGCAGAGTGGAGGACGGGACGGAGCTGGAGGAGGAGGCAGGAGACGAGGCTCCAGAGTCATATCAGTTCAGGTCAACATCTGATTAACAGAAGACTTTGTTTTGTGAGAGTTGCTCCATTTAAGGATTAATACAAAAAATATTAATTAAATATAAATATGTTGATGAACATTAGAAGTTAAAGTAAGTGTGCAATAAAAAGATAAAATAAAGATATTTATATAAACCTGTCCAATAATAGATAAAATAGAATAAATATATATTTTATAAAGTTAAAGGGGGGGGTTTAACTTACAGTATATTATCTTTAGTGAATGAGAAACTGTTGTGTTCAATACATTGAAAGAGACAAAAGTAGAAATGTCCCAAACAAGATCAACCTGATCAAAGTTCTTCCATATGAAATATCCGTAGACAGAGTCCGATACAATACCTTTATTTAGTCTAAATGACACTGAAAATACAATAAGATGGAGCTTCATTCATACAGATATCATTAAAAAAGATCTAACATTTTAGCTGTTGGTATTCAATATGAGTCCTATGAGTTCATGAGTCCTAAATTACCGTTCTAATCTTATGTACGTTTTACTGGGAAATGATCCTTTAGATCAGGGGTGCCAAACCTTTTGTTGAACCGAGAGCTACTTTTAAAGTTGCCAGTCTGCCGAGATCTACCAGTCCAAATAGAGAGGCGTAGCTATTACTGACAGGTAAATACACACTTCTACTTCGACCTTTGTACGATTAATACTTCATAAAATCCTGCAGATCCTTTATCTTACCTCTTTCTAATCTACACACATACAAGTATTTAACTGAAGTTACACAACAGTGTTGTTGATACAGAGTTGGAGTTTATTCACACGTCACACTACAGTGGGTAATGTTTTCAAGAAACATTGAACAGTGCTGCCACATATGACACAGGGACCCTTTATTTGCCATTATATAAAAATAGTGTTGCTACAAACGTATAAATTAGGCTTAATAATAAGACAACTCAGATCTGAAGCTACACAGGAATCTGCTGCCAAAGTGCAATAAAAAAGACAACATTAATAGAATCAAACCCTTTTTTGATGCATTTTAGTAGATTATAAAAAGAAATGCCTTTAAAATAGGATGCAAGCAACACTAGTTTCTTAACCTGAATTGATAATAGACTATAATCAATTTAAGTTTGCATTCTTATACCATTTTGTACAATAATTATAATGAATAAGTTCAAACAAACTAAAACTTACAGCTGATTAATAACGGTATCTAACTATCACAACTTCGCCGTCTTTGAAAGACTTCATGTGTTTCTCAAGAACGTGACTGACAGGATAAGATGCTCTGGTAGCAGCCTTGCTCTTGTTGTTGGGCCTGGTGAAAATGGACTGCTGTGCATTTAGCTGTCCTTTCAGGCCCCTCCCCTTTTGGAGCGTAGGGCAGAATTAGGAGGGAATTCCGTCTCGTAGCGTTTGTGCACTGTTTTGAAATGCCGCTCCTAAATTACCCTTCTTCGATAAAGCCACGCTCGCATTGCAGATGAGACAGATGGACTTTGAATTGGAATAGATACAAAAATAATCACTCGGGGTGAAAATTATATATTTTGGGCTTTTTTGCTTCTGCCATAAATGCGGTCTTGTGTGTGTGTGTGTGTGTGCGGACTGTCACTCCTGTTGCCATGGACAACGTCAGCGAACTAGTGCCCACTGCCCACCAGCCACACCCCGACACATGGGGTCACGCCGATCACAAAGCTGTGATGCGTTCAAGTGCATTATTCTGGCACAGGAAGATTATGTTATAGGACATTAACGATAAAACAGAATATTGTTGTTCTATTTTTAGATGCAATTGACTGGTTGGGCACCCCTGCTTTAGAGAGAAGATGTCTCACTCTGTTGGTATTTTTGGTACTGCAAAAACTGTTGCTGCTTTTTTGCATATAAGGTTTTCCTCACCGTCGTAGAAAAACTGGTTTTCAAACATATTTTACTGCACTGAGGAGTGAAAGCAGAAAAACCGAAAAACATTGACCTCGCAGTTAAGAGATCTGTTTTTCAAACATGAGAAAGAAATGCAGACAAACATGTTTGTAGCGTCTATCAAGACAGGTTCCCCAACATCTTTCACTTTCACATGTGAACACATTGTTTTTCTGCTGGATTGAAAGTATTATGTTCCTTCAAAGGCTGACGTGTACGTTAAAACATAGGTAGGAAATCTGTAGGTCTTTCTGCATTAAAACAAAAACAAAGATCTGCACTGATTAAACTTTCCATGGGCAATTCAGGTTTGATTCGCAGATTTTCCTTTAATAAAATAAAACAATGTTTCTGCTGACAATGTGCCAGTTTTTACAGCCGTGCGTGTGTATCCTTGTGGGGACCTAAATCTGTTTACACAGTCGCATGTGGGGACTGGCTTCCCTTATCGGGACAAAATGGAGGTCTCCATGAGGGGAATCATTAATTTTAGGGTTAGGCATGTGTAGGTTAAGGTTAGGATAAGTCTCCATGAAATGCATGTAAGTCAATGTAATGTCCCCTGAAGTAATGTATACATGGTGGGTGTGTGTAGGAACCTGAGTGATGTGTTCAGTGACATGAAGGACCTGGTGCTGCAGGACATCGATCGGTACTTCAGCTCGTCAGACTGCAGACAGTTCAACCGCTCCGAGTCACTCAGGTCAGAACAACTCTGCTGTCAGCCTGTCCTTTCTCACTTTTCCTTCCTTCTTTCTTTCAATTGTTCCTTTATTGATTATTTTCTCAATGTAATGTTTCTTGCTCTCTCCATACGTCTCTACAGGCTGGCAGATGAGCTGAGAGGCTGGGTCCAACGGCACCAGATCGACAGGAAGAAGTCCGGAGGGAAACCCAAAATAGCCAAGAAGGCCAAGATCGCCCAGGTCCGTCTCCTTCCTGTTAATGCAATTCCTATCATTTTCTATAGCACAGTTATTCATTTCTGCACTTTTTGCATGATTGACATCTGTATTTTACCGGTTCATGGTCATATTCATCATGTGATCTGTCTTTGCTGTTGCAGAAAGCTCAGCTGAGGAAGACAAACTTCTCCAGATATCTTCCCATCCAGGCTCACCGCTCCATAGAAAGGTACGCGATACAAATGTACACGTTTATATTGGAAGATGTTCTTCAATTTCTCCTGTAATAAGCTCTGTAAGTCTTATAAGAGAAGAACGCTGACTTTATTAGTGAAAAAGTAGCTAAATGTGCTGTAGAACTGAAAATGACCTGGTTGTTCCTTAAAAAGTGAAAGCATACCTACAGATGATCATTACATAAGATCTCCCTGAGGTTTTTACGATGTAGTGAAATGTTTTTTGATTACATTTTTAAAGGATTGAATTGTAAATATTGATTTGAGTGTTATCTGCTCTTCAGCCAGCTGCAGGCGCTTCCTGGTCCGGAGGTCACCTACAGCGACTTCCTGGACGCCATCGACCGGAGAGAGGACACTTTCTACGTCGTGTCCTTCAGACGGGTATGACACCAAACCACACACATGAAACTTTACTGAATATGTTTATGGAAAGTCTTTGGACTATTTGTGATGTTTACAAATATTGAATTAGGCATAAGGAAGCACAATTAATGGTCTGTTAAAATGAATGTACCACGATAAAGTTTATATTGAATGTA